ACCAATAAATGTAACAAGACACTTTCTGCATATAATATTTCAGTACTAAGCAGCATGACTGTTTTGACAAGGAAGCCAGCTGCAAATTGGAAAAGTCCTATTTTTGCAAGAGATTTAAACAGTTGGTTTCCAAATTCAGTGAGTGAGTACAAAAAAGATGATTAGAAGGCCCCATTCCAAAAATGAAGCATGGGAAAAGTATATAAAGCCCATACAATGATAAGCCAGAACTTTAAGACAGAGTTCACAAACCTCTGTGAAGGCACATATTTATTTCTTTTATGAGGACAATTGGGATTTTAAATGGGGAGGCTTTAGTGACAACATGCTTTCTATTCTGTGAAAAGAAATTTTTCTTAAGGAAACATTTTCGAACTCTTTGTAATAACTGATAAAGTTCAAGGCACATACAGTTAGAAAAAAACAGGTTGAGTTGTACAGCAATTTGTAAAAAAGTACAAGATTCCAAAATACCCAGCGAACCATGATGCAGTCCGTAATCAGTTACTGGGTTCATGCCCAGTTTTGCCCTTGTACTGTTCATGCACTGATAAAACAAATAGCTCCCTCTTTCAGCCTAAATAGATAGAGATGCTTACAATATTTTATCACTGCTTGCCTAAAGTGCAACTTCAAGGCACTCTAACTGTTTAGCTGTGAAAAGTTATTAGATGAGAGCGGTCATCTCCATGTGCAATAAATACCCTCCCAGCACTACAAGCCCCTTACTGTTGAGAACAAACTTTCTCCTTTTCTATAAAGATGAACTGCAATTTTTCTTCCAGCACCTCTTCCCCAACATAGAGGCACTAGCTTATACAATGCAAAAACCCTCATCACAGGCCAGCACACGTCTGTTACAATCTGTATATGGTGGGGAAAGGATTCAAACTGTCCAGCGAAGCACTGAGATAACTCTTTTCTAATAAGTATGGTGTCAGAACAAGGGCTCAGGTAACTGCAATCCAACAGACTTTTGACATGACTAGATGTCAGCCCACAATATGATCCCACAGTACCAGAATAGGTAAACCTTCGAACACAACAGAGAGCCATTTCAGTTGTTTGTTGAATATTGTTTAGCCATAACACAGAAGCAAGCTGTGCAGCAGCTCCTAGCTCTTCAGGCAGTGCAGTCAGCAGCAGCTTGCCTCCTCCCTAATGCACGTGCAGACAGAAGGTATCACAGAATGTGCTGAGTGGGAAGGGATGCCCAAGGATAATCAAGTCCAACTCCTAGCCCTGCACAAGACATCCACAAGAGTCACACCAGCAGCTCTCCCTCTGACATCTCACAGCAAATACTGCAAATTTGACTGGACAGAAAACTAAATAAATTAGAAGAGGAAATTAATATAGCTCAGTTATGTTTCAGGAAGAAGCCTGCAAAACCTGCCAACAATTTCATTTACACCTTATGTCTTCCTCCTTACACCCCTGTCCTAAGACATCCTGCTAATGTGAAACTGACAAAGAATACATAAGACTGCTTTGAAGGAGGTCTGCACCCCCTTAACTTTGCTTTCTATATGGACAAGGCAGCTCTTCTTCCCCTTGTTGTTGAGGTGAAGCAGTCAACAGAAACTACTGCTCCTCTTACAACTACCGCTGGTCTAGTAATTTCATCTTGCACATCCACTTCTAACCACACAAAACATTCAATTTGAGAAAGACCAAAGGAGTCCTCAGGCAGAGCTACCCATCTATGTAATGGGCATTGAGCCAAAACCCTCTCGTAGGATGCTCACCAGCCTAATTTTCCTACATTCACTTTGCTAATAAGAGGCAGCCTTCTTGCTGCTAAACTTCCTGTTCAATCTGCCCTTTATGTGAAGCCCCCACTTAAACATGTTCACTGCAGCTGTTTGATTGCTCTTTTACCCACGTTCAATTGCCTCAGGTTGCCTCTTCCTTGAATTCATCATCAATTCTTATCACTGCTAGTCATACAATAAAATGAGACGCTCATCATGCAAGACAGACTTGCTTCATCAAAATAACCTCTAAGTGACTGTGAATGCTCAAAAGCCTCTCTTCAGATCAACTGATTTCCTTTAAAGAAAAATTAATCCAATCCACCCAGCTCAAGTTCAGCATCCTTCAGAGCAGTATTCCTCCTCCCCCTCTCTCCTTCATTTTCCTCCGAGGCTTGGCTACAGAAAAGAACAGCATGTGCCTGCTTTTCTAGTGCATCTACATCTAGTCTATTCAAAAAATAAAATAATTTATTTGTGCAGTGATAAACACTTTGCCTCAGTACTTTTTAACACAAAAGTAATACAGCAGCTGTAATATAAAAAATAACTCCTTCATGTCAACCCTGCTAAGTATACTCTGAGCATTGATAAAATTGGACTGGGAGACAGGCATTCATGTTTCAGCAGTCAATTGTCTACAGTCCTTCAGAACACATTAGAAAGCAATTCTCCCCCCTTTTAAAGTATGAAAACAGTGACGAACACTTTCACAACACCCCAAGTTCCTCTAAAACTCTTTTAGGCACTACACAGTACAAGGCCAGTCTTAAAACCAGGAGACACAAGATGGCTAATATTAAACAGTTATGGCAGCAGCAAACACATTTTAATGAACATGGCACAGGGAACAAGGGCCACACCAGCCCTCATCTCTATCTACAGGCACACAGAGGCGTAGGACGAGGAACACACACCCAGGGGTAAGGCGGTGACCAAAGATAAGTGCTTACATCTGTTTACGTAAGGCAGCAGTCTGTAATGCTTGCTAGAATCATAGCTAGGAAATGCACTTATTGCACTAATGAATTACATGATAAACTGCTATTCACTACCTGGACTCAGGCTGTCAAGCGTAATCAAGAGCTGCAACTGAGTTGCTGAAAACTGATTTGAATAGGCAAAGTATATCACTCAAAAGTGAAAATTAGTCTCATTCGAATTCTATCCAAGCACTCACTGACACTGACCAGAACCCCGTGGGTTTCTAAAACGAAACATGATGGAGTATGCAAAACAGACTGGCACAAGATTTTCCTTAGCACTATGGTATGCTAAGTTTACATTTAATCTGTCAAGCTAAGTTCACTGAAAATAAAGTAACAACAACTAAAAAAAACCTCATCGGGGCAGTATCTCAAGGGATTACTTCAACACCAGGGTTCTTTTTTTCCATTATTGTCATTTAATTCCACATTATGCTTCATGTCTAAAAGGCAGATCTATAAATCACATGAAGCAGTGCAAGTATCTCAGTGCTGTTCCTAATAGTTTGAAAATATCATCCTGAACTTCAGGAAAACTGTCACCTCAAAGATGTATCACAGAATGAAATATGTTCTCCTTGTCAGTGGTGTAAAGGAAAAAGTATTTTTCTAAAAGTGCACTGCAATTCCAGTGAGGACAGACTCAAGAGGCAAAAAAAGAAGCCCCTTCACCTCCACCTCAGGGTCAAAAGGTCTGGCAAAAGCATCTTCAGGGTTCGTGCAAGCTTGCTCAAGCTAATGGGTGTTACACGGACTCCTCCGCAGTGGACAATCAATTACAGCAACAACTGCTGATTAGCACTATTTCACCACCAAGAACCACTGCTCCCAGAAAAGCAACTTCTTGTTGAGCAAAGGGATTACATGAGACATTTAATCCTTCTTTTTCGCTGTAACAACTCGATGGAACATGATCTGATTTTGTGAAACCATTTTAGGGCTAATATTTTATCACCGCAAAGAAACCTCTGATATACAGGTTAAAAAAGGCACAGTAAAATATACAGAAAGTAAGCTGGAATACATACTCAATTTCTCATCTCCTTTTTCTGATTCTAAATCAGCTCAACTTTTTTTTTTTCACTTGATGGGATATTTGAAACATTTTTGTCTTTTCCCTATTGTGACCAGCCACCATGTCCTCAAGACTTCCCACAGACCACCACACTACCACAGAACTTCCAAAACACTCACAGCATCAGAACTACTAGCAAGCTTCAAAAGAAATTTATTTTGTATGGTTATATGACAGCACAAGTAAACTGACAATTATTTTTTTGCAAAACAGAACAAAAGATAATTTAACTGTAATATTTATATACAAGCTACACAAAACAACGGAGTGCTTTGTTCCTCTGGTGCACAAATGCCATATAACATTATATGGACTGTGTGATGTAATTTTTAAGCTATAAAACTCTGGCCTAGATATACAGAAAATTCACCAGTATCTTGAACGTTGAATAACTCATACTTGTTAGCAAAATCACTTTAGATGCCCAGACAGTTCTGTCCAGGTTCCAGCTTCTCACTCAAGCTAATGGGAGAACCCAAATTTAAAAGAGCAGTGATATAGCCATTGACATATAATGAATTTATGTATATACTAAATTATCTCATTGCTTGTTTGATCTGCTACTTATTTTATTAGTGGTTGTAGTCATCTGCTTGATCACTACCTGCAATTCCATCTACAACAGCCCTTTTCACCCTTCAAAAAGCCCCGTTACAGTATTACAGTAGAAATTTAATATTTGATTACATCTTTCAAAAATGCATCTATATTTTAACACTGTAAAAAACAGCTCAGAAATACATCTATACCTTCAACGAGCTGCTATTAATCAGATCATCTAAGTAAAATATTTGACTAAATATGCGGTATGAGTGAGGAAAAAGCAGCAGCTAATCTCACTCATTTCCATCAAATGTAGGGAAACACACTAGTATTAGTTACCGGTATTTCCTATACACTGATTTAAGTCTAAAAGATGACTGTCAGCCCTAGAGGATTAAGTAAGAGCCATCACCACAACCATACCTAAAGCAAGCATTTAAGGCATTACTTTTTCCCAGATTTTCTTCACTTTTTTATTTTTAACCAGTTATTGCAGTCTAGAAGAGACATATATACGCAACAGGCATGGGAAAAGTCTGCCTAGGGTCTCACTTAAATTATTTCTCAAGCTTTTATCTCGCAGACATGAAATAATCACTCCATTCATCAATGCAAGTTCAGAAACAAAACCAGAAAACTTACAGTTTAATGCATATCCAGCTTCAGAGTTAAATGCCACAGAGCTTCACGTTCTCCTGGAACGTTCTCCTACGGAAGAGTTACAATTCTGGTAAGCGCACAGGGTCACACAAACGGAGGATTTGCCTGAAAACCGCACGCTCACCCCAGGAGCCAAGCCAAGCGCCACATTTCAAACAGCAGCTGTTAAACGCTAATTTACCTCTCTAGACGCGCACGGCAATCCCTGCTGGCTGTCGCACCCCAGCTCCCTCCTTCCCCGGCCGGAGGGCCTTACACCGCTCCCGGGGGCCCGGCACGCCGCCCCGCCACGGCGGGAGGCTCGGCGGCGTCGCGGCATCCCCGCCGCGGCACCACGCCCTGCGCCGGCCGCAGCGCGACCCCAGGCCCGGGCCCGCCGCGGCACCTGCCCCGCCGCCGCACGCTCCGGGGACGGGCCGGGGGCGCACGGCATTAAAGGGAACGAAAAACCTTCCAGCCCAGCCGCCAAAAGCCTCTCAACAAACCAAAAAAATCCAGAAAACAAAACCCACAACATCCAGGAAACACAAACCCCTCTGGTTTGTTTTTTTGTTTGTTTGATTGTTTTTTTTTTTTCCGCCCACCACGAAATTTGTGGCTCGCTCCTCTTTGTCCGAGCGTCGAGCGCGATCGCGGCTGAGCATCACCCGCCGCGCCCGCGGCACTGCCCGCTCCCGAGGCGGCGCGGCCGGAGCCTCCCCCGCATCGCCCCGCCCAGCACGGGCCCCGCCGCCCCCGGGCACCTCGCTCGGCCCTCGCTCGCCGCTGCCCGGCCGCGGCGCCGGCGGTGCGGAAAACACCGGCGGTCCCCGGCGGCGGCGCAACGCAACCCCCGCCATCGCTCCCAGCGGGCCCCCGGGAAAGGGAGTGGCCGCTGCCCAGCCCACCGGCAGGTACGGGGCAGGGCGGCGAGCGCGGCACCCCGCAGCCCTGCCCCGCCACTCACCGCTGCCCACGGCGGCGCCCGCTCTTTTGTGTGCCCTCCGCGCCCCGGCACCTCCGTCTCCCGCTGCCGGGCGCCCCGCGCCCCCTCCCCGCCGCGCCGGGGGCGGAGGAGGACGCAGCCGAGATCCGCGGAGGAGGCCGCTACCGCCCGCCCGTCACATGCAGCGGGAAGGCGCGGCGCAGGCTCCCGGCGGCTCCCCGGGAGCCCGGCCGGCAGCGTCCGAGGCGAGCTCGGGGGTGAAGATGGCGACCTCGGCGGCGGGGGAGGGAATCCCCGGGCCGGCCCGCTCCGCTCCGCGCTGCCGGCTGGGCTGGGCGCGCCGGGGAGGGGAGGGGACAAAGAGCGGCTGCCGCTGCCCGTCAGCGCTATCGCTGTGCCGCCCGCTCCTCCTCCGCCGCCTCCGCGCCGGCCAACCTCCGCCCGCGCCGCAGCGCGCCCGGCCCGCTCCGCTGCCACCGCCCGGGGCTCGCTGCGCACCGCAGCGCAGGGACCCTTCCCCAGCCAAAATGTGCTGGCATCGCCACGGCCTTAAGGGGTGGCGGAAAGCAGGTCACGAAAGCTGATGTGCTTGTGGTGGGACAAGGAAATGAGAAGGGGATCTTCTGACCCCCTGCTGTTGACAGCAACAAGCCTACTCTGCCTGTCGGTGACATTCCAGCGTCCTACATCCCCCGTTCCCCCGGCAGTCATTTCAGTTGCTCACAGAGAGGTGGTGAGTCATCATGGGTGCTCCGCACCTGTAGCTGGTTTAGTGATTCAAAATAGGTATGGTGCCCCTGCGACTCTCAAAGAGAGCTATCTCCACTCCGTTCCAACAAATCATACCTTGTCTTTTAAAAGTGAAAAATAAGGGGAAAATGCTGAAGGTGGCACGCCTGACTCAAATATGAAACACGATGAACCTACAATATCACATATTCCTTGCCAGATGCAGAATTATGGCTGGAAGCTACACCTGGTGACACCATGTTGCTGCCAAACCATAGTTCTTTACAGAGTTAGGCTTCCATCTCTCCTGTGCACAACTTTTCCTGGTTTTGCACATCGTGCCACTCATTCTGTGTCATGAGTTAAAGTGAAAAACGTGCCAGATACCTTTTTTTTGTCAACATATTTATGGTTTATTATTTCTTCAGGCTGTGTTTTTACAATTTTGGATATTTTTCTGAGAGGGCTCTGTGCCTACCAAAATACTTATGTCTAATTTGCCTTCAGAAGGACATGGTGTGAGAAGTGCCTCCATCAGGCATACCCTGACTGATCTTCCATTCAAGAGTCAGTTGCTGAAAACCAGTTTCGGCTCAGTGCCCTGCAGATGGTGTTTTTGCTGTGTGTGTTTAGAAGATGAACCCCCCTATTTTAGAGCCCTAGAATCATCAAGGCTGGAAGAGACCTCTAAGATTGTCAAGTCTAACCATCATCCCAGTACTACCATTGTAACCCCTGAACCACTAACCCACATCACCCAGCACTGAGTCCAGATGCCTCTTAAACACCTCCAGAGATGGTGACTCCACCACCTCCCAGCACACCTATTCCAATGCCTGACATGTCCTAATAGTGAAAAAAAATTTCTAATATCTAATCTGTTTCTTCTGTCTCAGCTGAAGGCCATTTCCTCTGATCCTCTCACTGCAGGGACAGTAGAAGTGACCAACTCCCACCTCACTACAGCCTCCTTTCAGGGAGTTGTAGAGAGCAATGAGGTCTCCCCTGGGCCTTCTCATGACTAAACAAACCCAGGTACCCCAGCATCTCCTCATAACACACGTTTGCTAGACCTTCATGAGCCTTGTTGACCTTTCCTCCACCAGCTCAATGTCCTTGTTAAAGTGAGTGGCTCAGAACCAGACTCGAGGTGCAGCCTCAGCCACGCCAAGTACAGGAGGATGATCACACCCTTGTCCTGCTGGCCACACTGCTCTGGTTCAGGCCAAGATGCCACTGCCTTCTTGGCCACCTGGGCACACGGTGGCTCACACTGAGCTGGCTCACAATGAGCACCCCCAGGTCCCTTTTTGCCAAGCATGTGTCTCCCCCAGCCTGTAGTGCTGCAGGGGTTTGCTGAGACCCAAGTGCTGGGCATGGCACTTGGCCTTACTTTATGTCTGCAAAGAACAGCTGCAGTTGTTATTTCCATTCTGCTGAAGGTTATCATTACTGTTCATGGATTTTACTTCGTAAGAATCCTGTTAGGTAGAGAAACTATTATCCCTGCTTTCAAGATGAGAAATAAAGAGACAGTATACCTTGCCTCAGGTCATATATATATAGTATGTAGTAAAACCAGAAACTTAATCCAGAATTTTGGTGCAGATCCATTAGTTTAAAACCACAAGTTCATTTTTTTCTCAAGCTCTGCTTCTCAGGACTCCACTCATGAGAAACTATTGTGAGAAGGAGCAAAGCAATGTTGAAAAAAGACATGCTAAAATTGAATTATTTTGTTGAATTTGTGCGGAAAATAATGTGTACTTACATGGAAATGTTGAGAGTAAGCAAATTTACACATAAAACATCAGCAGAAATATCTGGTTTCATAAGCATATAAACCAATAAGGGGAACACCATGTAATGTGTTGTTTCTATATTGTACATTTAAGGTATGAGATGTAAGCACTTCCAGTTTTTATTGGTTACATTTCACGCAGGAGCAGGTGAATTGCAGAAACATCATAAAATCTTTGGCCAAAACTGCTAGCACAGTAATGATATCCTGAAGGACTGCCTACATAAGTAGTACCATTATATTCTAAAAAGTTGTGACATTTTCATCAAGCGCTGTGATAACACAGAGTTTCAGCTGTTCCCCACAGCAATTCCTCTCAAATAACAGAGATATGTCAAGTGCATCCACAGTCATCTGTGTTAGATGCTTCTGGTACCACTTCAGAGTTTCAGGCCTCTCCACTGTCATGTGTCTCCACAGACACTGGTGTGCCCAAAGTGACGTTGTGTAGCCAGCAGCACAAACCTGTAAAGATGCCAGCCCCTTCAGACCAGGTCTAGCAGCGGAGTCGGGAGATTCATCTGCATTGTGAGAGCATGTGCCAAATGCTTGTCAGAGGATAGTCGTGTGCCAGGCTTCTTCTGGCAGTAGTGGTACGTGTCCAGCTGCCATCATTGCTGACCAAGTGCTAATCATGGTGTGTGTGAGAATGAACTGTGCACAGAGCCAGCCGCGCTTGCAAGTGAACTCAAGCCTTCAGAAGATTGAACTCTGTTGGACAAATGTGCTCTCACCAACAGTTTTTATTCTGTTTTATTATGGTTAGTTCCTCAAAAGTGCAGTCAGGGTGCCTTTACCACTTTCCAAGTATCTCATGTCCTTCTGACTAAACACTGACAATTCTCCTTCAGTGATTTCTTTCTTCAGTGACAGTCTTACCTGCATTACTGACGGCTTTTACTAATTACTTCTCCCATATCCAAAGATATCCAAAGATAGGCAAGATTTATCTTTCAGAATCCTCTTCCTCTCCTGCTGTCCTCAGGGCCTCATGCCAAAGCCTGAAAGAAATGGTCAGGCAGAAATAATTCAACATTTATATGAACCTTTCGTGGTAAATTACATTTTTCCTACACTGTGGTCCAGAATGTTTGCTAGTTAACACACCAAAAAAACAGATAGAAACATCTATCATTGCTGGGATTGAGGGTATGTGTGAAAAAATAAAAGATTGATTTTAAAAGGGAAAAATAATCTTATAATTCTGAATTTAAAAATGTGTTGTCTCCTTTTTTGAATGAGCAATAAAAGGTATACACTAATTATGACTAAATAGTAGTGTGTGGGTATAACACTCATGAACACAACAGGATTCCTCCGTTTCTGATGTAGCCTTGTACAGGTCAGTGAAGGTCTGTATCAGCAGTTAAAAGTCATCAAGATAGCTACTCACTGAGTTCCATTAGCTGACCATAGCTGCATTTCTCACCTGTGGCAACTGTCTACCCTTATACCTTCATAAGGAATTTTTTAATGGAAAGGGTTGTTAAACATTGGAATGTACTGCTCGGGCAGGTAGTGGCATCACCATCCCTGGAGATGTTGAGGAAACCACTGGGAATGGCACTCAGTACCATGGTCTAGTTGGCAAGGTGGTGATCAGTCAAAGGCTGGACTCTGTGATGTTGGAGGACTTTTCCAAACTAAATGATTGCTGATTCTGTGATTCGTGATGGCAGCCTGGGCAAACTTGCATTGTTCTGCAGCTGCCAGAGGCAAGGACCTAGAAGTGCAGTCTGTTAATGTCGCTCAAGAGGCAATGTGTTGTGCTCTGACTGCTCAGTCTATTGCAAGGGGCTGTTCGTGGCCAGTGCAGGAGGAGCCTGCAGTCACAGCTCCCAGTCTTAAGGGGAGCTCAGCCCAGTGAATGGGGGTGGTGGGGCTGGAGCAGAAAGGCTAGCTCCTTGCTTGCCTCCTTTTAGGGTAAAAGAGGAAGCTGCTGAGGATATTCACTTCCCACAGTTTCCTCTAATTGGTTCTCTATGAACAAGCCAGGGTAAGGAAAAAACTTGGGCTTTTTTTCCAGAAGTGGCAGAAGTTTCCTCTAGAAGTCCCAACAAAATCTCTTAATCTGTATGTGCTTTGCATCCAAGTCCCTGTATGTGGCTTGATAACCACCCATGTGGAAGCTGATGCACCATGTGTGCTCCCTTAAGGCTTTATAGCTAGTATATGTATTTTTCTGAATTAGATCCAGACAACTGAAACACCAGCTGAGGTGCTCTTTCACCAAGTAGTGTGAGGCAGATTTACTACTGACAACAAAATTGTGGGGAGAGTGGAAAAGAATGTGTGTCCTCTTGACTCAGTAACTTCTCACTCAACATGTAAAGACCTGAACTTGGCAAAGTGGCTCAGAGCTTTTCTGCATAATAAAATGAAGATCCTTAAACAGAAGAAACTCACCACATGGAAATCCAATGGGATTTTCTCAGATAATAGTACTGTTTCTATCAGAAAGGAGCTTTGCTAAGTAGCTGCAGTGATATAGTTGCTTCATTGTGAGTCTGCAATGAAATATCTGCATACCTTCATTCATTGTCCTTTTTTTCTGACAGAAATGGAACTCCAGGAACAATAGCATTTTTACACTTGCAAGAACCCTGATGGTAATTAGGTTTCTAATATGTTTTCTTTGGTAACTTCCTTTGGTTTTTATTCTGGCTTTGGAAATGTGTAATTATTTAGCATGCATCTTTGTTTCCTCTCTTACCCTCTGGCTGTCTGGTCTGTTTAGGTTGCATATTTCTTTGGTGTTTGTGCTATGTTTGCATATTGCCCAG